GAAGTGCATTGTGGTCTTCAAGTCAAGTCCCTGCAAAGCCCCTTGGATCCTAGGACCAGGTTCTAGATAGGACCTCTACTTTACTTCCAGTTGAGCTTAAGCCTTGCACTTCCATTGCTAAGCTCCATGCAACTGTCAAATGCCAAAGCCTCTAATGCCCACTGGGGCCAATGTACAACCTGGGCCTGGGATCCAAGGGGCTTTACAGGAAGCAATTTAAAAACTATCATAAGTAATTGCAAACACCGCAAAGTGCCTGCACTTCAACACTATTTATTGCTTAGGTACTTTATTGACTAGGTCACGATCACTTTAAAGCCTGGACTATTAGTACGCTTATATACAAGTCTTTAAAGAATTGTTAACAATAAAAATACACAAGATTATTGAGTAGTTTGATATCCAATTCTTTGGAAGATATTTTCTATGCACAGCAGACTTCCTGTCAGAGTTCTAAATAACAGAGATTGGTGTCAGTTTAGGCTCAGTCCAAAGCCATGCTAATGATCAGCATAGAGATGTATACTTTTTACGGAAGCTACTCTGTAGCATATTTGTAGTGCAGACAGGCTATAGCAGGTACTAAAAGTAAACCTGTTACTGTATAGCTGCGGATTTTTTTTTTATTAGCAGAGAGATATAGGTTGAATTCAGCAATATAGTTAATGGAAAAAAAAACATTAATATGTATCTCAAACTTTTATCAAGGTACCAGAGATTTCAAGCACTGGTAAACCCAAGTAAACTAATGTTTTATATATTATATTCGTAGGTTTGTAAGCCTGTCTCAAAAGCATTACATTGTTTCTTTACATCATGTTATGTTGTTTTGCTCTGTCAGTAAGCCATTGACATGCAGTGGCATGAACAGACATACATTTTTTTAGCTAAAAGCAGATGAAGATCACCTCAGCCTTGAGAAGTGGCAGTATTCTTCTATAAAAATTTTCCAACAGGAAGTTAGCTGTTGAAAACTATCAATTCCAATAAATACAGTTTAATTATCTTCCTATCTTCTCTTTACAGAAGAACAGCAGAGCCTTCTTAAAACAGAAGCTTTTTCTCACTTTCATTACAATTACAAATATCAAGGACTTATGCCTCACTTTATGATAGTAAACGGAGCCATAGAAATAGTTTCTTATTGCGCCGGGCCAACTGTGCAAAAATTATTTTATTGTGATAAGCAGGAACCCACTAACCCATTAAAGTCAATGTCTTATTAAAAGGAGTATTCATGTGGAAATGTGGGGCCCGTTCAAACGATACAGTCTGGTCATCGCACAGTCCCCTGGCATGAACGCACTGGATCGCATAAACAAAGCCTATCCGTGTTTTGGGGCAGGAGGGGGCATGGCAGGGCAATGGCACCACAGATACACCTCTGCCCGCAGTGCGATCGTCTGCACCAGAATGCATGATACCGAAATGCCTTGCGTTCCAGTGCGGTGCAATCACATAAAATTGTGAATGCACTATTTTTTATGCGGGGAGACTCTGATTATGCGATCCAGTGCGTTCATGCCACGGGACTGTGCGATGAACGCACTGGATGGTGTGAACGGGCCCTTGCTCACTTTGAACAGGTCATGTGCAGAGGAATTTAAATGTTGACAATTGAGTAAAGTTTATTAATTTAGGAAATATTCAATACAGTAAAACAATTCAAGGTGTTGAGTTAAACCAGTTAGTGAGCTACTAACGCTATCCAGCAAGCAATATAACTGTGATAAATGTCACTCAACCTATCCTAAAGCCAAACTGCAGAGGAAAACTATACATTTTAGGATCTTAATTGTACACCCCGCATAAATGGCCCACCTCACTCAAATAGCTGTAACTATCCTTCATGAGGAAGGTTTAACACCTTTCTCCACTGATGTTATTATAACAAGGGTCATGTTAGGAAATACAATGTTTGCTGAATTTCTGTTTCTTTATGCACCACTTTTCTGTGTGCCTGCTGATGCCCTGTGCACCAGCCCACTGATGCCCTGTGCTCTTCTCTAATGTAAGCATACTGGAATCTAGAGGAAAACAATATCCAGAGAGTTGCATCTTCTTTTTCCTAGTCTTGAGTGTTGCTATGCACAGGATTAAAGGAGACTGATAGAATAACAAATTCTGGTATTGGTTCTATGTAAAAATACAATTAAGTTTTTGCTCACCTTAACACAACTCAACTCAACAGTAGCTCAAGTTACATTTTAATTAGAATGCCCGGTAGCCAGAATCCAAACAGCACCTCACAGGGTCAATGGAACTGTACTTCCTGAAGCCTGTGCAGTGTAAAATTATGCCACTTTGTTTCTGCTTTCTCTAATCACATTAAAACATCCAAGGTAAGTTTCAATGCTTGCTTGTGATTGGTGGCTGAGAAACATCTTCGTGCTGACACTTTCTACATGAAACTTTCTGTACAGCACGGAGAGGGGTTCACTAATTAACATATAATAGGAGCCTAGGTGGATTTGTATAGAAAAACAATTGCTGGATGCAAGTCAGAAGTACTGAGTATGTAGACTGCACTTCCTGTATGCAGCTGAAGGTTTTCAATTTTAACTGGAGCATCCCTTTGATGTCTTAGTTCTGTAAAATTTCAGTCATGTCTAATACTGCTGCTTCAACTCACATTTCACAATTTACTATTAGTGTTCACGTAATACAGATGTTAATGTACAATAGGCCATTTAACAGCAATTGTCACACTTAACAGGAAATAAGAATGAGGTGAATGAATAGTAGCTTATTGACTGTGAACAATGAATGTACAAAGCAGCATTTCATGATGGTTTCCAACTAGGACAGATGGCTCCAGGTGGGTGGCTTCCTGAAAAGAAAAATGACACACTGGCAGTTCATAATCAATTCTAAAACAAATGTGCCAATACTGATCACATCCAAAAGATAAGGTCAAATACCAAAATGTATTATTTTTATGGGAAAACTCAAAGCCTTGATTCACAAAGCTATAACAGAGACAGGGAAAGGCTGGCAAGCTTTGGAATGGGATCAACTATATCCATGTGGCCCTTTCATGGTAGAATTCTTAGAGCTAAAGTAAGTGTAAGATGGTGCGGCAGTTATTAGTGTGCATGGTGAAAGGTGGTTTATTGAGAGTCATCATTTCACAAGAGCATTAGCTTCGTTTAAGGGTCTCTGCAATCAATCACATGACATCACAGAGTCCCAAAGAAAGTCAGTGCTGGAAGTGTGATTACAGGTCTGAATGGGGAGCAGGTAATTTATAATGGCCACCATATGTCTCGGACTATGTGTTCTGCTCTGATTGATGTCTAAATGATGAAGTATCTCCACTCAGGGCCACCAGCCCAATATTTCTTATTCCTACTGGCCTGGTTGGTAATTGCTCCCCTGCTCCCCAGCCCAGTCCTCCCCTTAACAGATGTGTTATTTACCAAAACAACTGTTATTTTTAGCCATGGTATCTAGCTTTCACTGCCGAAAAAATGTGTCTATAAAGAAAATAACGGTTGTTAGAGGTTTAAAAACTAAGTATAATGTCTGGCTGATTTTTAATTTTAAATGTATAAACTATTGCCAAAATGTATTTAAATATGTTTGCTTAACATGCTACAAAAAAGCCCCCCTCCTCCCCCCCCACACACACACACAACTGTATGCTAATGTTTTCACTGCACCATTGCATATTATTTTAAAATTTAAATGACTAATTACAGGTTCAGTTCCACTAAGTCATGTCTACATTCACGATATAGGCTTGCCTTTCTTCATAGGAAAGGCTGGCCAAGGTCACACTAAATAACTGTGTATAGATTTTGGAGCCATACTGATTATACCAGATGTCTCTGTATTGAAGGAAGATCATTGTAGAATTCTAAAACACACAGTGACAATAAGATTTCCTATGTACAGTTAACATTCATATTTTTTTTTATCGGGAAGGATTGATATGGGGTACAGGAAGATATTCTTAAAATGGTATCTTTAAAAAAATACATGATTTAACCATCAATAAACTCTGTATCTCATATATTATTTAGGACATTGCACCAC